GCTTGTGAACATCTTTAAAGTGTCCTCGTGAATTTTTTATTTTAAAAGAGATGCGAACTTATCACAAGGTAGTTCAAACTCTATGATCAAGTCTCCTCTGGTTCCTTTTTGTGATATTTGAAATAGGTTTAGTTAGGCAAATCGAGCATCTCAAGAAAGCTTTCTCTGAATCTTTTCCAACAGTTGTCTGTCTCTTTCTATAAGAGGGCTGGTCACTTATATGCAATCCTCGAATTCAGGATGCACGAATACTGTGTACAAATTCAAAACGTTTTTAGCACTGATATTCTTAAAACTTTGGCAGCTATCTCATGGCAGTGCACAATAGTTTTTAATTATTGACTAACAATGAGTCCTGGGACATTGTGTGCCTGGACAACAGATAGCTCAACGTTATTCACCGTGTATTTATTTCCACCTTGTGACTAATATGCATCATAATCCACTTAGGAGCATTTATCGGGGACTGTTAAACTTCAGATCGTTCAGATAACTTCTCCGAATCATTTTTAAGGTCGAGACTATCGTCTCTACTTCTTATCGTTCTTGAATTCTTGACATCGCCGACATATAATAAAACGGATGATTATAGGAAACTAGGGTGGTCATTTACATACAAGAGAAGCAACATTGGCCCCGAAACTGTACCTTGAGGTACTATGTTAGACAACATTGATTTCACTCGCACTCTTTGTTGGCGCCCAACTAGGAAGCCTTTTGTTCACATTATTGAATTATTTTCCATCCCAATATTACTTAACTTATATAATAGCCGGTTGAGATGAACTTAGTCAACAGCTTTATTGAATATAATTTAGGCTACATCTACAGGTAACTTTTGGTTCTTAAGAGAGTACCAACTTTCGTGAAGTACTAAGATGTTGGTAAGACAGGAGTGACCTGTTCTTAAGCCATGCTGCTTTTCAGAAAGAATCCGTTTTTGTTGAGATACATAAACTACTTCACCTGAAAAATATTTTCGAAAATTTTAACAACCGCGCCAGTTAGGTATGCGGGTTAATAGTTCTCAGGTTTATGTCCCGTACCTATTTTGAAGACAGGAGTAACTAGAGCGTTTTTCCAGTCTTTTGGTAATCGACCTTGGATTACAAACAGATTGAAACATATACTTCGTGGGTTTGCAATAAATTTAGCTGGTTTCTTTAATAACCAAGGATGCATTTCATTGAGTCCCGAGGATTTGCTTATATCAAGTTTATTTAGCGGACCATAGATATTGAGTTCTTTCATGATCACAGTGTCCAGTGTATGTGTATGGCTTGTACAAACTGAAGGGAGGGGTGTCTCCACAGTACATACACTGCTGAGTACCTGAGCTATAGCATAGTCGACCTCCACTAATGATGAAGTACTACTGTCTCTCCATAATGCTTGAATATTTTCTCTTCTCTTAGTTCATTGGTTTACGTGCAAATAAAAACGTACAACCTTCTAGACTTGCAGAGGGTTGAGGCAAAAATATTTCGAGATTCTCGATATTTAGAGTTTTTTTAGTCATAAATATAGACATAAATCTCTTCCACATTCTTCTCCTCTTATGGAGAAAAGCGCGAACATCGTTATTGAACCACTCTGGGAAATTTCACGGACACCTTGGTGTAGTCCAAAGAAGGTGAGTTGCAGTGACGTTTAGGTAAAAATTTCCAAATACATCGCAAAACGCTTCTATTAGGGACTCTGACTCTATTGTCTAATTTACTACAGATGCTGAGTATATAATGTCTTCTATATTTGGTCTCCAGACGTTAGGTCTGAGCTGGGTTGACACATGATCGTTTTTGACAACTATACGGAAATCAGAGATTATAGCTGCATGGTCACTTTCACCTAAGCGTGGGAAATAATCGACGTTTGTGACGTCACCCTCATAATGGGTCAGCGTGAGATTCACTGAGGGTAATTCCTATTCCAGATTGTACCTAGTTCGTTATTTTGCATGTTGCACTAGGGCACATGTGATAAGTGTGTCAACTAGTTTCTGCTCAAAAGAATTTTCTGTCGATTCACTCTTCAGATTTTTCCAGCCCACCGTAGCTGCATTAAAATTTTTAAAGACTAAACATCGACAACATATTGATCAAGTGTTCAGATCTTCTAGTAAGATCTCATTTGTTTCACAGTTTGGACTATGGTAAACCAAACCAATCAGCAGCTCTCGTCCTTTTTCAAGCGGCAACTAATTTACATGTCCCAGCTTCATGGGATATGATATGAATAATGATAAACATAGTATACTATAATATACATACATATATATATATATAGTATATTAATGAATAGAGCTTCACCCCTTTTATGATTCTAGGTTTTATAGGCTCTTACTAACGTTAAATTGTCAAGATAAAGTTCCCCACCGTTTACAGACTGATTCAGTCAAGCTTCTGTTACAGCGACTACATCCGGCTTGGTAGAGTTCATCTATAAACCTAGCTCCGATTTCTTGGTGACCAAGTTACGGGCATATCTGTAAGAGATACAAAGACCAGTTAGATGGCTCCATGCTGCACCTAGAGTGGCTAGGCACCATTCTCCGTTGAAGCCTCACTGCTAGGCAACTTGCAATTTCGCGGTCTTGATAGCCAGCATCTAACCTTAGTTTTACTTCTTCTTCAGCTTCTCGTCTTTTTATACGGTCCGCGAGCCGCATGTCTTCACGGATTAAGTATCCTGAACCCTTTGCTTCATGTCCGTTTAATTCCTTTTCATTTGGAGATCTAAATACTATGTTTGGCAGCTTGGTTTGATACTGTTTCAAATTCATCGGGTTACCTAGTCAGTAAACCTTTAGCAAAGTGTCATCAGATGTATACTGAGGTACTAAGTGGTCAAGTAGATCTTTTATCAGCTCAAAGTCTTTCTCAAAGTGAACTCTCGGTTCTGAGCTTTCACTCTACTTGATTCTGTGGAAAACGACTGACTTGTCACTACCATCAGTCTTCAGTTTCCCAGCTTCTGTTTAGGGGACTGGAAGAACCATCTAGTCGCTGACCAACCTTCTCGCTCTCACCGGTCTCGAAGGCCACGAAAAAATTTATAAGTAAATTGCTCATCAACTACCTTAACTACTAATTAATTATCGCTAAACCACAACTCGGCCACCTATCTGGTAGATTATGTAACACAAGACTTTTGACTGTCTGGAATGACTGGTTCACCTCACTGAACTACAAGCATTATGTGCATATTGGAATTCTTGATTGTTTCGATGAATTTAACTGGGGTAATCATTGTCTTCTGGCTTGACAGTTGAATCCCATGAGTATGAGTGCGTGTCCGATGACATGCCTCTGAGATTTCATGTCTGGGTGGTTGTGAGCTGTCAGAGTCTAAACGTCCATGTCAGACAGGCAAACAGTAACAAAGTGAAACCCTTAAACTATTCTTATTTTAAATATTCACTACTGACACTAATGCTCTTCTTAAGTCAGATAATTTCAATATATGGAGGGCATTAGTTGGTTCAGATAATATTTCGACTCTTCAGAAAGACCTGTACAAGATATACGACTAGAATGCTTGAGGAATACCGCTTTGAAATGTCAGAGAATGCAGGGTACTATTAATGAACCATAGTAATACTGTATCCGAGACATACGTCCTAGGCGATCCTCATATCACACTTCAAACAGCTCAGATGAACGTAGGTACCACTCTCTGTGATACTCTGATCTTATCTTCCCACTAGCATTTCTCAGCTAATGAAGCATGCTCATTCTTACTGTTTTTTATGAGAACACTTGTCTCCTGAACTTCTAGATGATTTGAAATTATTTTCAGTGTTTGTCCGGGGCTTCATCTCGAAAAATCTCATACATGATTTTCCTTTGCATTAAGTAGGATATTTCCCTCTTAAAACGTTTTCAAAGGAGAACGAATGAAAATGTACTTGGGCCGCGAAGTAAATTCTTCCCAGTTGGCTTGGAAGCTAACCTAAAGTCAGTACGTCGGAGGACAAATGGGGTGAATATGATAGTGAGGTGCAAAACTGTTTATAATCCTTTCATCTGGACAAACCACTTATACATTTTAGTAATGTATCATACATGAGGGGACATCCAATCAAGATACTGACTTTTCCCAAATCATTTCACTACTTCAACCAAGATATGGTCAGGGTACTCTACTCGACATTTGTGAGGCTGCATTTGGAATATGGGATTCAAGAAGAGAGTCCTTGTCACAAGAATGAAGCGGATATGCTGGGAAAATTAAACGGTGAGCAGCAAAAATGATGAAAGATCTCGTTGACTTCTCTTATTACGACAAATTGAGACGCCTCAGTCTATTTCCTCTATCTTACCAGATGTTACAGAGCGATTTAATACAGGGTTACCGTGTACTGGACGATAATCGTGATAATAGTATGTCTTATCTTTCGCTTTAATCTGGGACTTTTCATTTGAGTGAACAGTTAAAGAAGTTTCAAAAACCGAAATCAAATCACTCACGTCTGGAGTTCCGTTTGTCGCACCTAGTAGATAACAACCTAAATTCCCTATCAGAATAGGTAATATCAACACCTTCTGTTGTTACATTTGAGGCAAGATTGGATCTTCGCATCACCAAGAATTACAACAAATAAGGGCACATTAGTCGCTAACCTTTACTCCTGAAGACTAGGTAAGTCGAGAAGTGTCTTATTTAACCAGACTAGTCGTTACGGTCTTATGGTACGGTCTATCCAGTCGTAATTTCATGCGATGAGGTAGTCCAGCGCCTTCAGATACGATATATCGGAAACAACTGATCAGGTCAGCATAATTTTCAAGACTTAAAGGACTATTTATTTGATGGATTTATTTACCGATTCAGTGTTATTGATTTTTGGATGTTTAACCTTGATTCAAATAAAAACAATTCAAAACACTAGCAACTGGGATCTAAACATGACTAGTTGGCGTAGTCTGATAGATGAAGCTTTATCAGACGAGGGGATCATTGATAAAATAAAGTCCTTTATTCATAGTGAGGACGCTGGTATGACTAAATTAACAAAGTTTGAACTACTGGAAATGCTAAGGTCTAAGGGTGTAATTGACATGCTGGTTTCTAAAATAAAGTCTAAAGAACAGTCCAAGATTTTCTCCAGAGGTCATGATAGTTCCGTGAATACATACGAAGGTTCTAAAACATGTGTGTCAATCAATATGAGTTCCACTGCAGTATTAGTAGTGGAGGTTCTTCAGGGGAGAGCGTTTACGAGTCACCTTCAGACATATGAAGACATGGAAATTGAGGAATCTAAGTGCTCCGACATCAGTTTGCAACTACATATCGCTTACAAGGACTGTAGATTTTCCAGCAAATTATTCCAGTGCACAACGGAGCCTATTATCAATCAGATCTTTTGTTTTGAGCTTATTTCTGGAAACCATAGCAAGGGACGAGATGTAAGTATAAATATAAAAAATCCGTTGTCCTGTTTTTAAGGCTAGTGCGGATAGTGTCGTTGGTTGTTGGAGATCTCTGAGGTATATGTTTTACAAAGGCATATCGTTCATAGAATTTGGGAATTTGTTCCCGAAATATATTACACCATTTAAATATATTTGTGAGTGATATATTCACCCATCTATATCAGTTTTATGTATCAGCCGCTCAGATAGAATAGGCTCGTCTACTTAACAGTCTGCTTAACCTATAAATTAAACTCTCAAATACACATACAGTTAATAAAGACGTAAAAAAGAAAGGATAAGTCGTGATGAAAAATGCTTTTTAATTTCTCTTGGTTTGCTCTTAATGTATCCTTAGAAGAAGCTGTTACCATGTTTTGGGACTAGGACCTCCATATATATACCATTATGTTTCGAAGTTAGTAGTCACCACTTTAGTGATTAATAAACCCTACAAAAAGAAATTATTAGTAGGCATTCATTGTTAATAATCGACTTTTTTTGTTTTAAAATGCTGGACTTTCTGACAGCTCTTTTTTGACTTCTAGATCATTCTTAACGTGACTGGCCTGGTATTCTCATGTTGTTTATTTTGACCATCACCGTCTTTAGTCTTCAGCGATAGGAGTAGCAGCTTAAGTGAATATTGTTATTACTCGAAATTCGCAGTACTATTAAGACTGAGTGTTAGCCGATAACATTTCCTGGTAAAGAATCCCAAAGCTCCACCACTTGATAAGATAAATGGGACTCATAAGTTAGTAATTTGACTTCAGTGTTAAACTTTCTGGGGAAACCAGTTTTTGAGAAAAAATAGTTACGACAGAGTAATTCGAACATCACCGTTATCTTGTGTTAGTTGAATTTTTAGTACAGTCTTTGAAAGAACTTAGCATAAGTGTCGCACTCTCGTTATACATAAGGAGTACTTTAGTTAGATAAAGAGTGCTTTGGGGCTTTTAAATCTTGACGTAGTGTTAGGACAAGATATAAACTATTTTAGCAAATAGAAAACGGTCTCTGGTGTCTGTATGATAGACGAATTCCGTTTATTTATTCATGGATTGGAAGGGACTTTAGACGACTTTTAAATAATTGGTTCTAGTGTTTCAGTTTATCACAGGAACCGCCAGTTCTGATTCAGGTAACATTCGATTACTAGTTTGGACCACTGAGGCTATGAACTCTGTAGTCGCGTTTGATATTTTATGGTTAAACTTCACTTTTATTTCTAAAGGCTTTCAGAAACCTACAGCAACCTGTGTGCAAAATTACAAAGCTTTTTTAAACCTTAGGCAATGTTCTACAGATTTCCATAAGCCTCCAGGCTGAGTAACCATAATTATAACCATTATGTCTTTTGTCACACTGATGGCTTATTTGTCCAGTCACTCGATTGATCACACTCATATCCGCTAAAAATCTGATTACTCAAATGCCTTAACATGATGGTTTGGGAAACTGGTTTTGCTTGCTCATGTGCTACCCCTCACATTTTAATATTATCTGCGTACAACGAAAACAAAAGTCCCATGTGGTAAGCAAGGTTACTTAGACGAATAAAAACAGTGCTTCACTCAAACGTATTGCGTGAGAAAATTTGATTAACATTACTTTTCAGTTGAAAAATTCAAATTTTAACATTTCTGGTTACCGGCCCAAAAGATTTAGGAAAATCAAGTAAAACTAGATATATTGCTAACCGGTAACATCAGTAGCGAAAGAAAGCTAAACTAATACAATCCACAAAACCCATTCTGATAACAATCTAAATACTTATGGAATATATATATATATATATATATATATATGAAATTCGATGTTTATCAACAATATACATGCTTTACTGTTTTCCTTAAGGTGACCCTTGAAAATTTGCTGTTCGATAAACCAGTTTCTTTTGTACAAATCGTAATCACATCAAACGTATTATCAACTGCAAAACGAGGTTTGATCTCATCAACCTACTTTGACTGGCGTCCATATTTCATGGGCAATTCTAAATGTAAAGAAGTAAACTTAAACCACTGGACTAATAACGTATCCATAGAACTACAAAGTACCGATCCAGAATGTAATGTAAGTCGGTAACTTTTCTCAACACTTTAAGTACTTATTAGATGGATAGCCTTTTTAAAAAATTAAACGTTCGTGGATTTGGCCTAGACGATTAAACATTTTAAATGGAAATAAAACAAATTACTGGGTAAAATACTTCATCTATTTATTAGGGCCGGGATTTGTGTGATATATTTCAGGAATTATTTAACCGTAACGTCGGGATTAGTAGGCCAGTAATTTCTGAGTTCTCACATTCCTGATGCAGAAGTAAAAGTTTGAAAGTATCAAGATAGTTACAAGTGTACTGAACTTAGGTATTCAAATAAAGTTCATTCTAGTTAGTATCGCTCACCGTCTACATTCTTTGATCCCTGCCATATTTTTCTCTGAGGGTATTCGGTGAAATCCAATGTATTTGCCTTTATCGATTCCGAATGTTCTCTAACCCTAAACTCATTTATAAATATAGGTATTCCTGATGAATTTAAGTCATACAGAAAGTACATAATGTTAATGTTCTTTTAAACCAGTTATATGGAACGAGAGATTAAGGTATATTGATTAAGCTTTTGGTCTTTAATACCAGTTCATCACTACACAAATTGTCAAAGTTAACTGGCAATCTATGAACTGCTAGATTTTTGTTAATATGTTTAACCTATTTTTATCTAAATGAGTTGACACTACAATCAATCTGTTAAAATATTTCAGGCATTTCAATTCTGAAATTATGGTATTTATCAAAAAAATACCATAGGCTTTGTTTCTTTCAGTTCGTAATTTCATAAAGTTGCTGAGTTGACTAACCATTATCTGTGATGTACGATGAAGGGTTTGTGAGTCAGTGCTTCCTAATCATACACATTAGCACAAGCGTTTTCAGATTAGTATTTTGTATGCTATATTCCTCAATAAATACATAAAATAATAGAATTTTGAAAAATCCAATGCAATAACACGTTTGGTTAAGGATCAAGCTTTATAAACAGGATATATTTCTTATTGATGGTTTTAGAAGTGTACTAAAGTAAGTAAACGTTTTTATCAACTACAAATAAATACGAAACACAACCTTGTCTATATGATAAAGTGGTCCTTATGAGATTTAATTAACAGAAAAACAAAGAATAAAACAGCACAGGTTGTTTTAATTTGAATACATTGACTCTTCAAGCAACAACTACTCTGTTATTTACAATATCAATTCTAGTACCTTTGCGTCTTTGGGACCACATCTCATTGGCTGCAAGATTTCTAGTTTGCAACTGACAAGTGTCAATGGAATTAAATTGTGAAGATTTTTGAGTCATGATAATGAAGGTGTTTATTATTACATGTGTTTTTCAATGGTGTTAGAAATGTTTCATGAAATTAAATTTTAATAGGTACCTGCAGGTGTTCTTGATTTACGTCTTTCTCTAATATGTCCTAATGCATCTATCAATACAAATTGGTCTGATCCAGTAAAGCAGACATTTGATTCAAATGCACCTGGTATAATTAATCATCAAACTTGTAAATTAAGACAACTATCACCCTCACTTATTCAAGCACATTTTCAATTAGAATTAAATCGATCACTTGAAAGAGAAAATACGTTCACTAATTATGTTCGTCAATGGTGGCGTGAATTAACACAATTGCGTGAAGGATTCTTTTCTGAACGTCTTATTAAAATATTTGCAGCTGATGAAAATGGACGTACACAGTTAGTTTGCTTTTGAACGTGTTCTTATAATTATTAATTTATATTAAACACCAACAGACTTGACAGGCCAATTTGAAATATTTAAGTGCCATACGAAATAAGATATTTTGCTTTTCAATTCTGTGAAATAAGTAGTTTAATGACAGATAAAACTGTTAAACGTTCTCTTCAGTGTATACTGCAAGAAATAATGATTGTTTTAGTCTAAAAATACTATACTTACTTACTTACGCCCGTCACTCCTCGTGGAGGAGCATAGATCGCCCACCAGCACTCGCCACCCAACCTTATCCTGGGCGATCCTTTCCAGTTGTTATTCATCCCTTTCATATCTTTTTTTTCGCGACGTAATGTGTTCTTTGGCCTTCCTCTTTTCCGCTTTCCTACAGGATTCCTAGTTAGGGTTTAACTCGTGATGTAGTCTGGTGATTTTCTCAATGTATGTCCTATCCATTTCCTTCGTCTTTACCTGGAAGCTGGTTTGTTCTCCCTCACACAAGGCTGTTGCTGATGGTATCCGACCAATGGATGTTCAGTATCTTACGTAGACAACTATTTATAAATACTTGTACCTTCTTGATGATGGTTGTTGTAATTATCCAAGTTTCAGTTCCGTATAGTAGAACTGTGCTGACGTTCGTATTGAAGATTGTGACTTTGATGTTGGTTGACAGACAGTTATTCCGAGTTCCATGTGTTCTTCGATTGAAGGCATGCGGCCCTTGCTTTGCCAATCATCGCCTTTACGTCTGCATCTGATCTTCCTTGTTCATCGATGACGCTTCCCAGGTATGTGAAGGATCCTACATCTTCCAGAGTTTCGCCATCAAGTGTAATTGGGTTGGTGTTCTCCGTTTTGAATTTGAGGACCTTGGTTTTCCCCTTGTGTATGTAGAGGCCTACTGATGCAGAGACTGCTGCTACACTAGCTGTCTTTATTTGCATTTGTTCATGTGTATGCGATAGGAGAGCTAGGCCATTTGCGAAGTTGAAATCGTCCAGTTGGTTCTGAGCTGTCTATTGTATTGTGTGTTTTCCCTCAGATGTAGAGGTCTTCATGATCCAGTCGACTACCAGAAGAAAAAGGAAAGGGAAGAGTAGACCACCTTGTCTGACTCCGATCCTTACTTGGAATGTATCTGTCAGCTGTCCTTCGTGAACTACTTTGCACTGTAGTCCGTTGTGTTAGTTCCGGATGATGTTCACAATCTTCTCAGGAACTCCGTAGTGTCGAAGAATTTTCCATAATGTTCTCCTATCTTTACCGTCAAACGCCTTCTCATAGTCAATGAAATTGATGTTTATTGACCAGTTCCATTCAATTGACTGTCGAACAATAATCCATAGTGTCGCGATTTGACCTGTGAACGATTGGTCCTTACGAAATCCAGCCTGTTGATCTCGAAGTTGGGCGTCTACTGCGTCTTTCATCCGGTTCAGCAACACTCTGTTAAAGACTTTCCCTGGTACTGACAGTAGTGTGATGCCTCTGTAGTTTTAACATTTACTCAGATCTCCTTTCTTTGGAGTCTTGATGAGGTGTCCTTCTTTGCAGTCTGTCAGTGGCACTTGTTCCTCCTCCCAAATCTTCTTGAATAGAAGGTGAAGCATGTTTGCAGTTACTCTAATGTCTGACTTCAGTGCTTCATCTGGTATATTGTCAGGTCCTACTGTTTACCCACCGTTGATTTGTTTGATGGTCATGCTGATTTGTTCTGCTGTTGGTGGATTGCCATCTATAGGAAGGTCTGTGTATGCTGCTTTGATGTTCGATAGATTCAATGGAGCTGACTTACTCAAGAAATCCTCAAAGTGTTTTACCCGCCTGTTCCTTTGTTCTTGAATTTCAGTAATTGGCCTTCCTTTTTTGTCCTTGATCGGTCTCTCTGGTTTACTATATCTACCTGCTAGTTTCTTCGTTGTATCATAAAGCTGTTTCATGCTTCCTTCTCTCGCAGCTAGCTGTTTCACGTATTTCTGATTGTCGTTTCTAATTCTCTTCTTCACTTGCTTGTTTGCTTATGTGTACTCAGCTTGTGCCTTAACTTTCTCTGTTCGTATTCGTTTGTCGTTATTTGGTGTCTTCTTTTCCTTCCTTTCCTTGATCTTGTCCAGTGTTTCTATAGAGATCCATTCCTTATGATGATGCTTCTTGTGGCCCAAAACCTCTTGACACTTTGAAGTTAATGCTTCTTCGATACCTTTCCAGTTGTTCTCAATACTAGTTTCTTCTTCATCCAGTAGATCCTGCAAGGCTTGGAACCTGTTGTTGAGAGTTATCTTGATGTCGTTGAGTTTGTTAGTATCTCGAATGAAGGTTGTATTGAACCTTTGTATTGCTGTTTGTCCAGTTGTCCAGTTCTTTTTCAGCTTCAGTTTTAAATTGGCTACAACTAGGTGGTGATCTGAAGCTATGTCAGCTCCTCTCCTGGTTCTCACATCTTCCATTGTCCTTCGGAATTTTTGTTGATGCAAATATGATCTATCTGGTTATCTGTGGTGTGACTGGTGAGATCCATGTAGGTTTGTGTATACGTTTGTGTGGGGATATTGTGCTGCCTTTGACCAATTTGTTGAATGCACAGATTTGCAAATCTTTCCCCATTTTCGTTTCTCTCTCCCAGTCCATGTTGTCTCATGATATCCTTATATACGGTGTTGTCTATTCCAACTTTGGCATTTAGATCTCCCATCAGGATGGTGAAGTCCTTTCTTGAGCACTGCACTATGGTTGATTGCAGCCTCTCATGGAATTGGTCTATCTCGTCGTCGTTTCTATGATTGGTGGGTGTATAACATTGGATAACACTCATTGTGATTAGCTCCTTTGTTTTGAATGTGTTGTAGCTCAAAGCCGCCAATCAGAAGCAGCGAATTACCGATTGAACCAAGGACGCGTAAAGCACTTGCAAACAGCTTAGAGTTCTGATTGGTCCTGCTTTCCGCCTAGCCCAGCCAGTTAAGTCTAGAACGCCAATCTCAGCCTCTGCAATATGAATCATGTATTTCAAACATACCCTGTTTATACACCAATCAAGCAGACCACATCGTACGATAAAATATGAAGCAACATTTGTACAAAATTTGGCCAAATGTGGCTGTGAACGTGGGAGGTAGTGGTTAATAGACAGAGGATAATTCAAGAATGGAAAATCGTATAATAACAGTTCATAGGTTAAAATAAAGCTTATGATAAGAGAGACATGAATACGAATAGTTTAGTTATTTAACAATTATACGATAAAAATATACGTATAGTACTGGTTTACAAATAGATCCAAAAAATTAACACTTATTATTCTTATCGGGACACAACAGAATGATGCTTTGATGATTCTGGATTTGTGAGATTCTCTTCCTACAAGTGCATGTCGTGCTTCTTTGGATAGTATAAGAGCAACTGCTCAGGTGTGTGGGACATTTTCCTCTTCGTGACCAGAGTATAGCAGCATCTCTCCCGTATCTAGCCTTTGCTGTCCAGCAAGGGTCCAATGGGCATCGGCCTCGTGGCTTCCGAAGGAGCTCGGCTTACACCATGAGGCGTCATATTTCTTCTAAATGAAGACCTTCTAACTCCCAGGGTAGAGTTTAAATGGTTTGAATTATTTTTTCTGGTTTGCGTTTTGTAGCGAGTTAGTTTTCTACGGGATGGGGTCGCTAACCTCATGCCCAACCCTCGTCATTTATCCGGGTTTAGGACCGGCAGTAACTCTAGAAGAGCTACAGGCGAAGCTAAAAATACTATTGTACTAGTATATTTCAATGATCTTCGTCCTATATAGCTGTTACGATGACTACTGCAGTTATTTAAAACATAAATGCGTCAGTATTTTATATCGAACTTAAACTGATCAGTTTAAAAAGTCATTGGTATATTTCAATGTACATGTTGTTAAGCGAAGAGTTGATTAAAATAAAGATTCTAATCTTAACGAGCTTTTACTTTCGGCCAGATTATTTGGTCTAGAAAACGTGATACATTTACGCCAGCCTTGAGTAAAAATATAATGAGCATCCTTTTGACATTATTTTAATGTTATATGATAAAAAGTCTACTCTTTTTTATGTGATGCCATAGGTATATTTTATTTTCACAAATTTCATTTCATTTCGTCAGATTTTTGTGTAACTTCGTAAATCCACTCAGTGCAAGTCATATTCTTGAAACCCCATATATAGCCGCACGCTTCGTTTCAAGTATACCCTATGAACCGTTTTACGGCGTCGGGGTTGGGATAAAAGAACGTTGGTGTTCTGGTAAGTGTAACTGAACACCACTTTCCTACTCAACTTTTATTTTTTCATTCCTGTCAATACCACTAGAGTTTTCCTCACAGGATTGTCGGTTTGAAACCTTTTCCATTTATTTCGTTTTGGACGCGTAAATAGCATTATTTATTCTTGTATAAAAAGTATCATTCGAAGCAAACGTTTACTTGCTTACTAAGTTAGACCAAATTACAACTTAATTAAATTGATGTATATTTGAGTAGTGAAAAGGAAGTGGACAGAAGGATTTTAAAAGATGGTCATATGAAAATTGTTATTCAAAATCAGTTCTAACTCTCAATCATTTAAATTATCCTGGAAATATATTACTGGTTAAAGACTTTTAATCTGCCTGTTGTTCATATCACTTTGTGTGAGTATATGAAATACTTGAATAGACTTCTCAGTATTGTCTGTATTTACAAATCCTACTTGGGTCAATGTATGTACAGAATCCTATTGTTGCTCATCGTTCAAACCATAGTCATCATATAACGGTCTAAAAACTGTAACAGTAACTGTAAAAATAAAGTTTATGCTCTTTGTTATTCAATATTTTTGTCTTAGAGGAAAAATTAAGATGGTGTGCTGAAAAATATCCATTTCAATTTTTTATTAAGCAGTTATTCATCCCTTCATATTACAGAACATGAAAGACCTGATGGATTTAGTCACTTGTGTAGTGGTCATGTTCTCTAAAGCATGTTCATTCATATTTCGGTTATCGTTCCCAACAGTGAATTAGAAGTTTGACAGCCTCTACCATTTTAATATTTTGTTAAACAGATTAAACTTTTTGACGTTTATTCCTGCAGTTTTACTCGAACTTACAATATAAACATCTATGTTTATTTAAAACTTATTTTAGTGATTATATATTCCGTTTTTCTAGGACTGGCTTTTGTTTCTTCAAACTCTGGAGATGTAGCAGATCATGCAAACCTTTTATGCTCTCTACTATTGGGTTATGGAGTTGAAGCATACGTTGCTTTGGGCACAAGTCAATTCAATATGAATAAGCAGCAAATGACTACTTCCTCACATTTATATGCATGGGTCGTTGTTTGTTCTGTAAGTGTTTACTAAGTAGTTGAAAAATTCAGACGTATATCAAAGGAATAGTATATTTAGATTCAGATAGTGGCAAGTAGTGGAGTCCAGGGAGTAGATTTTGTTTCTTGAATGTAAATGAAAAAAATGATAGTCTCTAATTTGACTACTGCTCAGTAGTATTTTGTCATACCTCTAAATTATTTAACAACTTTCAAACAGCTGTCGATGGATATACACAGAAAAACTTGTATGGCATTCTTTCAGTCCTTCTTACGTCCCCTCTATTACGTACTATTTGTTAAAGAATGTAAATTTAGAAGCTATGTATTCCATGTCTTATTATTTTATTCATCCATAATCCGATGAAGTCCCTGAGTACAGTATTTAGATAACTCATTATGAATTTTCGTTTCAGGATTAGAATAGTCATTTATAACACAGTTTATTGCTTGAATTTACCCATTTGTTGCCATTTTATCGTTGTCATGAGTGTTAATATAATTAAAACATATTAAGATGCTCGAAAATCTTTTGATTATTCGACGCTCTGGTTCACATTGTCATGAATAACAGTGAAATTTCGCAAAATACCTTCTAGGAGCATCTGTCAAGTTATCAATACATAAAAAGTACCTGATAAATGACATTTAACTGTAACTAATTAAAAACATGGCATCATTCCGGTTTGTTTGATGACGCTTCATGACTTCAACTTTAAATTCTAGGACGATTATCAACGAATCACATTTTGGGATAGTATAACTGGTCGTCGTTATATTCATACAACTGGTGGTTGCGAACAAAAAATCTATCCTTCTCCATTCTATACCATTGGATGTTTATACAATAACAGTTCATTTTATGCCAATATTCAACCAACTGATAAAGTAGTAGACTGTCTTTTTAATTTAAAGGTGGGTATTTAAATATTTTTCTTTGATTTTAATTCAAAAGTATTGGAAAACATATCTATGATATTTGTACCAGTAACAATTTTTTTTAATACGTCACAACTTGCTAAATTATGAAACAGCTAACTTGAACATTTCCAAATTTCTTAAAATTTCCTTTGTCATTTTTGAAGTTTCTAACTTAGATGAATGATTAGTTAACTTGTTGTTACTTGAGGTAGGTTGTCTGATAAAAACATCTCACTTCTAAGTTGTAAATGGCTTCATATGTCAACGAAGTTATTGGAGACTCTATTGGAGACTCTAACTTAATGCTTATTACAAAGTCCCCTAGAAATGGATGGCTTTTTCAACGTATAATCACACCAATTACAAAAAGATGATCAGCTTTACATCTATTTGAAGTTAGTTCTTCAAAGGCTTCTTATCTTAAAAGTGATAGATAATCATTCAGTGATATTTTAGATTAATAAATCACTAAACTCTCAACAGAATACCATGGTAAAAGCCAGAAAAAGCAGTCAGCTCAGAGATAGATAATCTTTTGTTAATAAAACAAATAAGAAATATCGAACATAGTATATTCTGAAAATAATAATTTCAGAATTCACGCCAGTTTACAGGCATTTGATATAAATAGTAACATTCGATGTGGAGAACAAACATGTGATATAAGATAGTTTTAAGTATACTACTTCAGTAATTGTTTAGGTACCAGATGTATTACAGCGATCCAGTGCATCAGCCGGGAACTTTTAATTTTTATTAAGTGGACAGCCTGTTGATTTATGAACGGTGATAATTATCTACAACTAGAGAGAGTAAAACAAAAACAGAGAGCACGGAACAACAAATCAATAATTACCAAAATGTGTCAATCAGGTCTGCCAAAATGTATGTGTCATGTGACACAGTGATATACTGTTGATGTTAGATATTCTTCAAATTAGTTAAGGTTGCTAGGGTCAATGTCAACGTAAAGTGACAACAGGCAGGTGGTTTTACTTAGGGATTTCACTAATAATAATAACTAAACATTTACAGTTCCTATAATATCACCTGTGGAATAAGATGCACTTAGAGGTGCTAGAACATTCAATGCATTTTCAGAGGAGCAGTATACATCAATGCATTAATAAAACAAACAAGAAATAAGCTGTAAATGATAACAACTGGTGGTGGAAAAAAATTATAAAGGTGTCCATTGTTTTTGTTATAACAATTATGCAGTTTTTTCTTACAAAACACCTTGCTCTTAGTGTAATAGCATCAATCATGTTGTTATATTAAAACAAAGCCGAAAGACATTCATTACAAGCTGATGCAAAGAAATATATTGATATAATTTAAAATTATGAATGAACACACTAAAAATGATAAATATATCAGTATATGAAGAAGAACATTCTAAAACTATCGAAATTCGAAAGCTTTGATTAATAATCTAACACATCTGGCATTTGAACGTTTGACATTGAATTGTTAACTCCTTTTTGTCCTTAGTCTTGAGCCCTGAACGGAAGAAAAAAAGGCAAGAAATGTCGAAAAGATCTGTGTTTCTATTTTATGCTGTTAACAACTACCTCTCTGGCTTTTCTATATGACTGATTAAACACAGGAATTTCCAATTTAATAAAATGAAGCAACATTCAGACTAGTAGTCACCAGCACTTTTTATTATTCTGATTTTTAACTCTTCTGCTTGTACAATTCTAATACGGGTTATGCGCGAAGTGGAATTTCTAGACCTCATATAAATACACAACCAATAGCTGGTTTTTTTCTGGCTGATTAATTGTGATTTTCGACTGGTTAATGAGACCCCAATCATTAAAAAATTAATAGGGATCTTACAATTAAAACAATAAGAAAATAATAATAAGATGTGTGATAGGCACTTATAGAATATACTTAAATCGATTCTATATTTTCCTTTATCTTATCCCTTCCATACTATTAACTATTCAGTCACTGAACAGTGAATATTTCATATTCTCTCTAACCTTAGTTTCGAAAAGATACTTTATTTTATACTTTCTTTAATTGAACCTTAATCTTTTTTCTCATTTTTTTTTTCATAACTAGAATTCATCTCAATGGCGTCCTATGTCATTTGAAGTCATTCAAACAGTACATAATTACTCAAGTTTATACCTTAGAAAATTGAATCCTCCCATTCAATCTATAGATGAGATTACTGTACAATGTCATGAATCCTTACGTCGTTTAGCCGATAGTTGGCGTATGGAAAAATTAAGATGTAATAATCATATTACATGGAAATGGGATAATAAACTAGAACAATTATTATTACCTTTGATTGCTAAATATGAAGCAGATCAAAAAAATTTATCAAATTATGATGATAATGATAACGTTGTACAAGTACATGAGGTATTAGAGAATGATTTGATTATGTCACCAATTCATCGTCATATACCTAAAGATTTTACATTCAAATCTTATCCAGTCCAGGTAAATTCTAACAGAACATTTGTAAAGATTGATATTTGAATTATTCCTTAATTACCAAAAGTTCTTATTTGAGTTATCATTACATTGCGACTGAGTTTGAGGCGTACGGTACTGAGCTTGAGTCCCATAATGAACATCAACTCTGACGAGTCTCAAATAAGACGAAATGCACGTCTTGGATTCCACTGATGGTCACCACCCATCTCTGTTCATTATTATATGATTTCATTAACTAACAACTGGTGCTTACTACTTCGAGTTATCATAAATATTAGATGTCAACGTTCTCTGAACGTATATGAAGGTGAATTTGATTAAGTTAATCTTGACTAAGTATGAAGATTCTAAATCATCCTGGATATAATAAATTTAAGGAACTAATTATGGATAAAGTAATCAGTTGACCATCCTGTTTCTTACACTTTATCTAATAATGTTTAGTCACTTCAATTTCTCCTGGTTAAATAATTAGTAGGAAAGTATTCATTACATTATATTTAAAACAGTCTTTTTTGGAATCTGTATTCACTTTAAATTGTTAACGTTTTAAAAGATTTGAGTTTGAAAAGCTGTGACATCATTGGGACATTCGATAAGCACTTGTCTTTTCGATCAGTTTGTTCAATTTATTTGAAAAACCTAGAACATGTGTAACAAATTAAGGTTTAAATTATTCTCAACTGTGGGACTATATGCTTGCTTAAACCTTTTATAGGTCCTGGGTTTGAATCTCGCGGAGGGCGGGATCGTGGATACGCACTGCTGAGGAGTCCCATACTAGGACGAAACGGCTGTCCAGTGCTTCCAGGTTTTCCATGGTGGCCTAGCTTCAATTGACTCATGATTTCAACTAGTGAAATTTCTAAAAATCTCCACAAAACCCTTTCTGATTTTATTATTTAGACGGAACTGTTAAGTGAATTTAAAGAACAGGGGATCGGAAAAAATCAATTAGCATTGTATTTAAAATTATTAAACCTAAGGGTTTTCATTAATTGAAAATTTGTTTTGATTATACTTTAGTGTTAGTTTAAACAAAGTTGAGGATTAAAGATTACTGAATAAATCTATGGGCTTTGTTGTCTATGTGTCAATCTTTTAAATTACTAAATAAATTACTGAAGGTTGATGTATTCAATCTTAATCCACTTTTAATGTAAACTTTTTGTTTTCTGAGATCATGATTTCTCTTTATCATAATAATGCTTGTCAGTTGATATGAAAACACTATGTTATTACTTCATATAGTAGTACTGTTTAGAATTGAATTTTCCATACTAATACTATTTCAGCTAACATTGTTCATTAAGAATGATGTTAATTGAATATAGGTAACTTAAAATCTTCATAGTAGTATTTAAAAATTAATATTAATTAAAATTAGTTAACCTATTTGTGGCTTTCATGTGAACGGTTAGTTAGGTAAGCATGTTGATTAAAGAATTTTTTAATTAAAGTGAAGATTAACTAATATCTAATCTTTCAGTCATGTCAGACAAATTCTTCAGCGATTTTTTGAAGGAATTATATCGAAATCGTCTTAGCAAAATAACCTGAAATTAGAAATGAGTGATTTATATGATTGAAGTGAAGAGCCGCCAATATACTTATAAATAATCCAGTTTAAAAGGATACCAAAATAATTCTCACTAGTCCATACAACAATTAGATGCTGTTTTCAGCTAAAAGTATCTGTGAGAAGAGTTGCAAAACTTTAGACATGAAATGGCCTCAATGTAAATAAATTATTCTAAACTTGAAAATAAGGTAGTTTGTTTATGAATGGTACTGGGTTTAAGTCCCAAAGTGAACATCAGTTCTGGGACGCAGAACAGTCGAGCTATTTATAAGCCAGGGAATTATAAAATTAATTTATACTTGTAAACTGTAAATTTCATCTTTTAATGAGCGTTGTTTAATACCTTGGGTATGATGACGCGATTTCTGTTAAAAATAATTTTGACATTGGGAAACATCACTATGTAAATCTGGTCACAATACACTATGAAGTGTTGCAATATCACTAAATCGATATAGACTGATTTTCTTGGTAATTTATTGACTAAAATAATTCTGAGAATATCTAGGACGACTTATTATTATTTGGATCAAATAATTTTCACGGTACAACCCAGAAGATAAGATGGTAGTTGGAAGTAGTCAACAGGAAGTCCTGGACCCGGGTTTTGTGCTACTTGGCACTCGTCAGCAAGGTGTACCTGTAATCTTTAGGGAACTGGTGCTTCCTGACGGATCTGATCCCGTGTCACCCAGCTTCACAGTCAGAGACGTTACCACTAAGCTACCCGGGCCGCGACCAACCTCCTGTAGGACTGAGATGTAATCACAATTGATTGATCACTGGGTGGTGATCAATGTCATGTGTGTCAAGTCATTCCTAGTGCAGATCGAATGCTATCGACCAGAAGATAAAAATGAAGCGTTATCACAACTGTGAAACAGATACAATCTTTGAATAGTTAATTTGGTTTCTCTTTTATCCTATTTGATTATATTTTGCAGTATCGCATTTTATTTGTTGTCAATATACTTATTTTTATTTTCCTTCTCCTACATTTGTTTCTCAGCTATTCCATTGTAATCCTCAAAGAATATTACGAAGTTGTTTACGTTCTCAATTATGTCGCGATATACTAAGCTGTCGTGGTGATCATGTTCAACTTGCCTTAGGTTTACGCATTATTACATATGCTGAAAATGCAATGATTACATGGGTTATATTTGCGTGTTCATATAAATCTGTAATATAAATTCAATCATAACCCTTTTTCAAGAGATGATGAATTATTTGCTTGAAGTAACCAATTTCTGAAAAGATATTTTGGTTCATTTAAGACTTAATAATTTATAGATATCTCTATCTTCGTATTTACAAAGAGTACTCATGGTAAACCCCTTAGTTCGTTTTAAAAAACGCCCTTGTTCATAATGCACATATGATTGTTAATGGATTGATAATTCTTTATATCCATAATGTTTTTTTACACTTGAACTCCCGTGGTTATACTAATTTTTCTCCCAGTTGTTCATATCCGTTTAACTTGAGACTTTCTGAGGGGAATGAAAAATCAATGTTTGAATTTCTGTAATTTGGTTTGTTTTTTAAAATTTAGAACTCACCAATTGTAACTTGTAATGATTTGGATTATTCCGTTGTTGATATTTTGACTGAAATCTGATCAATCTTGGTTGACATGTAGATCGCCTTGATATAGCCATTATGATATAAACTTATTTACAGTATACAAAATGTGGCTTCGAGTCCCAGAGTGAACTTTAACTCTAAGATGTCGGTAAATCCAGTTATTTTTTTGCATATCCTGAATTTCACTACTAGCCACATTCCATCTACCCTATATAATTCATGGTTCATTAGTTTAGAAAAGTAGTTTTATAGAAATTAAATCCGGAAGTTTAAAGTGTATCTTACGTCCACAGAATCTTTACAGAACAAACTACTTATATGGGGAATCCATAATCTTTAAATAAAATATTAAATGACCACTGTCACGTTTGTGTAGATGTTGGTAACGACTGAATTTGGCAAGTCACATTTCACTGTAGATACTGGTGATTAAATCCAATCCGTTGGTCTAGATTTTGTTCTGCTTGGTGTTCATCATCGAGATATATCTTTAATCTTGAAGGAATCAATTATCTGCTTGGGACTTCAATCGTTCTCAAAACCAAACATGTTACTACTAAGAAATTATTTTCTCGACTTACATACTACATGACTAAGATATTTATGTTAATCGACAAATTATTAGTAACCAATGTCACATTTTGTATCGATTTATACTGAACAATCAGTAAATATTGTGTATGAATGAGTGGTGAATAGCTCCGAACCAAATTCAGGATATACTACCTACCATTACTAACTACCTGGCAAAACGTGACTTATTTTATGAAATATTATTATGTATAAATGCAAATGTTTATTTATCCTCTTTTAAATCTTATTTTCTAATGCAGAGTTTGCTTTCTTTTCAATTTAACATACATTTTGCATAGAAACCTCAAAAATAAATTTATTACTTAATTGAATTTATTTCTATTATTTTAACCGAAGGTATAGGCAAAATAAACTAAGCATTGAATAATGATATTATGGATTATTTATTGGTAGTCGACAAATAGAGTCCTTTGAACACTGTTTTAATGTATATTTGTTCAAATCATATTGTCTCTGAATACGCTAATAGTTGATAAAGACTTTCATTAGTGTGACTGCTAGATGAAGTGTAGTATGAAGATTTACTTATAAATTTTTCACTTTAGATATCATTATCATCAGAACTTTAGATATCTGGATAGAATAGGGAGCTATTTGTAAGGTTACATTTAACCATTAATCATGGTATAGATGGTAGATTTCATGAAACCTAAAAGATTTAACCAAATATTTGTTTTTAAAGTTCTTATCTGTTAAAGATTCTACTTTATGAATAGAGGAAATAGTTACTTACTTAATTACGCTTGTTATCCTACATGGAGGAGCATAGGCTTCCCACCATCATTGTTCATCCAACTCTGTTTTGGACAGTCCTTTTCCAGTTTGCTCTAGTTGCTATTTATCCTTTCAATGTCTGCTTTCAGTTCTCAACGCAGTATGTTCTACAGCGTTCCTCTTTTCCGTTTCCCTTTAGGATTTCAAGTTAGAGCTTGCCTCGTGATACAGTTTGATGATTTCCAAAATGTATGTCCTATCCACTTCCAACTTCTTTTCCTAATTTCCTCTTCAGCCGGAAGCTGATATGTTCACTACCACAGTAGACTGTTGCTGATGGTATACAGTCAAAGGACACTGAATATCTTGAGTAGACAATTGTTTATAATTGCTTGCAAATGTTTGATGATAGTTGTGGTAGTTCTCTAAGTTTCAGCTCCGTACAATAGAACTGTCTTGACGTTTGTATTGATGATTTTCACTTTGATATTGGTTGACAGATGTTTTGAATAGAGAAAATAAGTGTCATATTTTGTTATTAGTGAAATATGCACCTATAAACCGGGAATAAGATGTGATATAAGGAACGGAATAATAATTTTTATTAATAAAAATATAATGGATTGTATGGAGTTTACATGATAAACTTCTTTGTTCGTCCACTGGCCCTGTTTGCCCAAGTATGAATCGGTGTATTCACATATGACCTAACACCGATCAAAACATCATTAGGATTCTATACAGCTAGCAATAAACATTTTTTGTACTTGCTTACTAGTAGAATTAGTGTTTTGTTTTTCAAAATGTTTACGCTTTGAAACAACCCAACTTGGCAAATGAACATGATTTCTTTGGAAATGAATATTAACATATTATCAGAACAGGGTTTACAACAAATTATATTATCTGAAGGTGCTGAGCGAATTAATCCATTGATGGAAGGAACGAATGCCAAACAATAACTATTGCTTCATTCTTATGTTGCTGATGTTCAGTAAACTGGAAAATTATCAGAAGACAACTGAAATGTTGCAAAATACAATTCTTTACATGCGTTTTCTCAATCAAAATAAAATGTTAGTTTGGATAGTAGCTAGTAATAGAATCCAAGACGCATATTTTGACATCTGAATGTGTTTACATATCAATGTTGATTTTTCTATCGAGATTTGAACTCAGTACCTATTACTCAAGATACCATTAAGTTATCCACTAGGCAACTGAACCTCAGTAACTATCAAATGATACATTCAACTAATGATTTAAAACTAGGATGCCTCTTTGATTTCATTATTAGTCATTATTAAGAAAAATAATTATACTCTGGAAATAAACGATTTTGAAGTATATGTGAATAAATTAAAATCTGAACTAAAAACAAATTTCATTACACTACTTATTTATTAACTTTTATATCATAGAATAATAAAGTAAGTTTGTAGAGTTTCAATGATTGATCAATCAATCAATATTTTCACATTCAAACTAATAATAATTAAATAATACTGATAATTTAATCTTTTAAAAAAATCTATTAAATATATTTAATGATAAATAAACCTTAAAATTTTTAATGTTTGAGATCATGAATCAATTAAAGTTCAGACACCACCATGAAAAACCTGGAATCTCTGGACGTCGATACTTTACTGTTGAGGAATCCCATAATAGAATGAAATGGTCATCTAGTGTTTCCAGGTTTTTTTCATGGTGATCTAATTTCAATTGACTCATGATCTCAACTCTTAAAATTTTTATCAACTAGTATGAATATAACTTTTATTATACATATTTCTTATCAATTAAATTAATTCATTCAATATAATTTATATTTTGTTAAAATTCAATGAATATGAATTTATGTAATTGTAAATAAAATTACTATTTTAGTAAGAAATATAATTCAATTTACAGATAGATATAGATATATACTTTAACTGAAATGAATAAATTGTACAATATTTCTAGAATAGTTGGAAGACCTGAAAACATTTATTTGAATTATCTATTAATGAATTATTGAAAAATGACCTTAATTAGACTGATGAATGTTGAATTTAATAGTTAATAATGACTTATCAGTTATTTATTGTATTTAACCATTAAATTTTATTATGATTATGCTTTATAGTAATATAATTTTGATAAATAGAAAATTTTCTGAATGCTTTCAAACAAGAAAATGTTATATGTATATATGTATAGACACCAACACCATCGGATGATAGCTCAGTGGTCCAGTAGGTTAAGCGTTCGCACGCGAGCCTGAAGACCCCGAGTTCGAATCCCGCTAGCGGGATCGTGGATGCGCACTGCTGAGGAGTCCCACAATAGGACGGAACGGTCGTCCAGTGGTTCCAGGTTTCCAACGGTGATCTAATATCAATCAGTTCATGAGCTCAATCAAAAACTTAATAATCTACACAACCCCTATACTGATATATATATATATATATATATTGCTCTGTTGGAGTTTTTTTCATATTCAAGTTTATTCCAACTATGACAAGATAAGTTTACAACATAAGATCGCTTTTTTTAACGAATAAGTATTAAGTAGAAGACTAATGGATAGCTATTTTTTGCCTCGTTTGGAACTCGTCAAGATATCTCTAGAAGACCTCTAGACATCATGATGAGATAGTGTTCTTTAAACAACTTGATTTTAATTAGATTATTCAAATTTCCACCTTCAAGCGGTTCGTTAAATACTGAAAGAATTATAGATACAATCGGTGGTAAATGTGAATCTAAACATTATAGATATACATATTGTGTTATTTATCGATAAGTATTTTTAAATTTATCTAAACACATATCTGCAAGTAAACGAGTCAAGAATAACTGACCAATAGGGAATATTTGGCTGACATGAAATATATGCCTCTTAAAATTGGGAACTACAGGCGGATACCTTGCCTTATATAATATACAGAATATTAATTTTTTTTTGTAGAAGAAAACACTTGATTAGCTAATGAAAGGTTGAGTGGCTCACAAATATAGTTACCTATCACTATTGAGGACAAGTTAGCTGACTGATGATGAAAATTTGTTTAAAATGTGGCCTGTAATTTTATGTATATCTTATTTTAAGCTTAACATTTGCTTGATATCATATTTATTTCAGATACGTGGGGCATTCTTATACATGTGCCAAAGTATTACATGTTGAATCACTTGAAAAGAAAAATATTGTCACATCCTGATTGTATTTCTCATTATATTAATGTCATATGCATCCTGATGATATGAAGTTGTCAATATTTTAATGGTTAATTCGAATAAATAGTTTAT